AGAGTCCTAGGGCCTTTGCAGACTGCCAGAAATAGTGCAAATTGAGGTTAGTGCTAAGGAATCATGGGAATTGTTTTTTTTCTGAGACATTGAGCCTTCTCTGTCAGAGAGCAATGGTGCCACAATAAAATACAGTTCCCGTGATTCCCTAACCCTAACCCTAACCCTAAAAGTGGACTCAATTTGCACTATTTCTGGCAGTCTGCAAAGGTCCTCAGTCTAATATTCAGACTGCTACACCATGCTGGCTCAGTCAAGCATAGTGCTGGCTGTTCACCAGAACAAGAGAAACATTGCCTTGTTGGACTACAACTCCCAGAATCTGGGAGTTATTCTGGGAATTATAGTCTGGAGACACTGGATTTTTTTTTTAAAACTCATCTGTCGACAGCTGAAGATGACAGCTCCAAATGGAACTGCTGCAATAGGATTAAGTGTGATAGGATATCCTATCACACTTAATTAACAACAAACAAGTAAACAAAGTAAAAAAGGAATGGTCTTTAATAGAGAATATTTGGGGAAAATAATGAGGGGTAACATCACTATATATAATACAAAAAACAAGAGTACAAATAGAGACACTCAATTAAGAGTAAAACTAAACAAGATATGTGGAAAGTGAACAGGTTAATTAAAAGCTCAAAGTTTTTTCTTTATAATTACTATTTTAAAATTAGCAATTTCATTTGTTATGTTTATAATTGTTTTGAATATTGGACTTAGTGGGTACTATAATATTAACAAAGTTTTCTTTACCCGTTGACCAGCAAGCACTATATGGAAGTTATAAGTACCATAAGTTCTCTGGTGTTAAATCAGTTAGATTTACTCAATGTACAGGTTCAAATAGAAGATTGTTAAAATATATATATGCACATTAGGTTTGGATAATATATTGTAGAACTTATGATGTATCTTTATTACTTTAAAAATAATAAAAAAATAAATGACAAATGGAGCTGCTGCGTTTCAGGGTTTTTTTGTGTGTTTTTTTGGCTCCTTAGCTAGCCAGATGGCAAGCTGAGTGATAGAAATATCACCTGGGGCATTTTTTTAAGTACCATTTTGCAAGAACATTTTTGCCTGCAAAGATCCCCACTGAGAGCATTTGGGGCAATTGGAAGTGGAAAAAAAATATATCCAAATCCAGGGCAAGATCCAAATCCTGGCAAGAGAATAGTATTGATCGCCCGCAATAGCTGAGAAGGTGTAATGAGATCCATTTTGGTGCTTCAGCTATTTAAAAATACAGCACAGAATGTGCCCCCTGCTCCCTCCAAATTAGGTCATTTTCCCCATCTAATGGGCTGAGGTTTTGGAGAAAACTATGTAGACTTTAAATTGCTTGTAACCATCCTATATGATTCCTGTGTGACTTAGGTCTAAGCTGTTTGAATGACCTTTTCCTCTATGAACATGCCCGGGCTTGGGGAGGTTTGCAGGAGAGTTTTCATTCTGGCAACCCTACCTCTGGGGCCATGTTTAGGCCTAAAGAAGGCCTTTTAAAAACAAAAAAACAAAATAGGAATTGATCTTGAAGCCATTTTTCTGTTCGCTTATTGATTTAAAAGGCCTAAAATGGATGTAAAATGATGGGACGGAGAAAACAGAATGTTGGAAGGCATTTGGGAATAAAATGATAGTTTGCTGCTAGGGGAAGAGCTGGGGCTTTATGAATGCTCTTGCGGAACTTCCTGTGGATGATGGGCTATACTGTCACTACCCCTTCTATAAGGGATAGTGTGGAATCCCTTTGCTGGATCTGTGACTGAGGTTTAATCTGATAGCCTTCATGTTATCTTATGACCTACCTAACCCTTGTGCATAAAGAGTGAGATGCCACCATAAACACTGGCACCACAGCCTTGACCTGTCATTTCTCAAGCCAAAACAGACCTACAGGTTTATCTCACGGAGGTTCAGCCAGACAGTAGTGCCTTTGTACGTGTCTTACCGTATGACGTCAGTAGTGTTTCAGTTCTCTTCCCACGAGACATGGTTGTAAAAACAGGTCTTTTTTCTAGCTGGAAAAATCCATTCAACAAAAGATTTGCTTTTACAACCATCTTCCACGGGAAGAGAACTGAAGAGCTACAACGTCATGCAGTAAGGCACGTAGCAAGGTGCTACTATCAGGCTGCACTTGGGTTTCCTTTTCTCATGTGATAAGCTCCATAGAGTGTACCACACCCCTGAAAGCTCATTGCCAATTGGAGGACCAATGGATAGAGAGATGACATTAGGAATCATAGAATTGGAAGAGGCCATAAGGGCCATCCCACCCAGTCCCCTGGCAAGCAGGACTACACAGTCAAAGCACTCTCAAAGGAAGGTCATCCTCCTGAATAAAGTGTTTAAAAATCTCCAAAGAAGACTTCACCATCCTCCGAGGGAGCACCTGAAACTGTCAAACAACTCTTACCATCACAAAGTTCTTCCTAATGTTTAAGTGGAATCTCTTTTCCTGTAGCTTGACTCCATTGCTCCATGTCCTAGTCTCTGGAGCAGCAGAAAACAAGCTCGATCCATCCCTTCAAATGCTGAAACAGGGCTACCATGTCACCTCTTAACCTTCTCTTCTCCAAGCTGTAATCAGAACTTGACCTTGGGGAATTTATGATTAGCTCAAAAAATAATAAATAGGATCTGAACCCATTGTATGCAGGGGGATAGAGGGAACAGTTCCTGGCAGAGACAGCAATTTTCCAAAAGAATGGTACTTTTATTAAGAGAGAAAAATAAATCAATAAGCAAGCACACACATACACCGAGGATCAAACATACAAAAACACCATAACATACATACACACAAAGAACTCAGGAGCAAAGTATAGGAAACACAAGGCTTTCTAATGGTGATGATTACCTGAAAGGAGGCTGCTTCAACAATGAATGAAGAGGGATACCATTATGACAGGAAAAAGACACCGAATAGAACAGAGAACTCTAGTCAGAGATCACAATGGCAGAATGTCATCATGAAATCTACCCAGACCCCTCTGTGCCTGAGATTTTGGGGAGCATTTATACCCTTAATATTAAAGGATTCCGATTGCTATGCTTTGAAGTAGACAATTTCCAAAAGAGGGGAGATTGGATGTTGATGTTATCTCACCTTCAGCCGGACACATCCTGGCTGGCACGCATAAATCTTCTAGGTGTGAATGTCCTGCATTGTAGCTCCTAAGCCTGGCCTTTTTGATCTGCAAATGGTTGTAAATGCAGATGTAACTCTGTTTGGAGTGCCTACGGGATGTGCTTGCTTTGAGCTCATGACGATGAAGGTTTCTTCCAGCATACGGCTATAACAGGGACCCAGAGGGGTCTTTATATCAAACCAATCATCGTAACAAAGCTATACATACTGAGCTCTCTAAGCTGCACCTCATAGGTCTTAATGGCTTCCAGATCTTTCACCATTTTGGTTGCCCTCCTTTGGACACGCTCCAGTTTTTCAACATCCTTCTTGAATTGTGGTGCCCTGAATTGGATAGAGTATTCAAGCTGAAGTCTGGTCAAAGCAGAAGATAGTGGTGCTGTTACTTCCCTCAATCTAGGTACTATGCTACTGTTAAGAGCACAAGGTGCCAAGGGTTCTTGCTAACTACGCTTTTCTATCATCAAAAAGAATCTAAATAGATCTCTAAAATCAATAGGCAACGATATTTTTTCCTGATTGGAAAAAGTGTCAAATCCCCATGTTATCCTGGAATCCCGTTTGTGTCTCATGCACATGTACGTTCCTCTGCAGAAACAGTTGGAATTTTTTGTGTGATGTGGAAAATCAACATCTAGATGTGCATAAAACATGCATGAGGTGAGCCATGCATATGAAATGCGCATTCAGATGTGCATTTTTAGGTGTACATTCCAACACGCGGTGTTGCCATTCACATTCCCTCCAACATTTGATAGATGAAAACCAGGATACACATGGCCAAGTAACATCAGAGTATGGTCAAGAAGACAAATGCTTTTAACACGTAACCTAAGAGAGGCTGCAGCAGTTTGCTGTTGTCTGAGCCTCCTGGGAAGGGCATGATTCCATCCTTGCTGAATTAACTGAGTGCAAACAAGTTTTGCCTTTTGAACTCAGCTTGCAGCAACTGAAGTGGGCTGAGGATGAAGGGGGAAAGTGGGAGGAGGAGAAAGAAACTGGGACATTTCAAAAGCCATTGAGAAAGTGGGATATAAAAGGGTTAGCCAAGACTGTGTTGTGCATTGGTGGTGGTGGATTGGAATAGAAATTTAGGAGCACAAAACTCTTTTGGAAGCTTTAAAAGCATTCAAGGATTATAATGAATTTAGAACAAAACAACCACAGAGACCCTAACCGAGAAGTGCCAGATTTGGAGGTGTACATCCGATGTGGCAGCAGGAAGAGATAGATAACTGAGTTAAGGAAGATAAATAAATGAGTCATTGCAGTACGGTGGATAAGAATGACCAGCGCCTGTGGAGAAATCACTGCTCTATGGGTTGTCACCAAGGAGAAAAATATGTTTTGGGTCTTTTAATTGGTTCTTTTAGTGTGCATTTGTGTCACTGGAATAAAACCCTTGACATGGTATCATGGCAGAGGTTGCCCAGAGCATCATCACCAAGCCTGTCCTTACAAAAGTTGCAACCAAAAGCAAAAATAAACTCGGATCAGTGGTGTCACTAGGGTTGGCATCACCCAGTGTGGTAACTCATGGTGTCACCTTCTCCCTATTGACCTCCTTCCATACTACAACATACAGAATCTTGAGTTATGTTTTTGGTACTAATGTTACTCATAAATCGTAATTCCTGTACATCACTGAATGTCATGGCAAATAGTTGTGACATAAACAACCTTGTTGCTGTATGCCTCCGAGTCATTTTTTACTTACGGCAACTCCAAAGCAACCCTGTCATGGGTTTTTCTTGGCAAGACTTGTTCAGAGGAGGTTTGCCATTGCCTTGCCCTGAGGCTGAGAGCGTGTGACTTGACCAAGATCACCAAATGGATTTCGTGGCTGAGCTGGGAATCGAACCCTGGTCTTCAGCGTTGTAGTCAAACCATGAAACCACACTCAGAAAACTAGAATGATGCCTTCAAATTGCAGTATCATATGCACAGCCTAAATGCATTTATGCACACAGTGGTTTCATGTGTTAAAGTGAAAATTTGGTAAGACATGATGTTTTTAAAGAAAAATAATTCAAAATCTGAGGCCTCTCCTTTCTCCCACTGAGCCTTGCCCCACTCGCACCATTTCTTGAGGATCTCTTGAATATTTTAAAGGGACACAGGCGAATGCC